TATGAAAGGTTCAGTCAACCTCTAAGGAGTCAACCACAGATTGAGAACCACTGCTGTGGTGCCCTCCCTCATCCCCTGTCCCCCAACCCCCACCCCCATTAGTGCATAGAGCCTTGCTGAAGGCAGTGATTCAGAGGACTGTGGGCCTTGAGGTTTTGTAGCATCTCCATGACTCTGCCCTGGCCCTGCTTCCTGACTGATGACCAGATACCACCAGCCCTATCTCCTGCTGCCACAGCCTCAAGCAGCGTCTTCCCTGCCATGATTAACTGCAACTCCAAGCCATGAGCCAAAATTAAACATTCCCCCTTACATTGCTGGCCACCAGGCATTTGATTACAGCAACAAGAATGTCACTAATACAAGTTATCTCTTGGTGGCTGGTGTTTTGCTGCAACATGCTGAGCAGACAATGCATACAGGAAAGAGATATCTCCCGAATGGAACTCTCAGCCACATCCACGGTCCAGTTCAGACATTTGCTTCCTTAAGCTTTCATTGTTTTTAGCTATGTGTAAGCATCACAACAACCTTGTCAACCGCAAATGATTCTGATGATGAAGACTTCAGGCAGAGTATGTTACATATAGGATCATTGTGGTACCTTTGCTGGTCATGATAGCACAATTGCACAGGATGTGGGCACAGGGGCCTTCTGTCTGGTGTTCACCACCACACATATTACATTATGCACAATCGCATACAAGCTAGACTGATGAAACTAGAAACAAAAGCTCTTGGAGTCATGTGATATTTTAAAGTCAGGATGGAAAAGAGTGAATGTTATTAACTAAAAGGGAAGTGTTTGGTAAACTGAAGAGGGGAACCTGCATAGAGAAAAAGTAGAAGCCATGGAGGAGAGAGGGAGAGGGAGAGGGAGAGGGAGAGAACATGGACAGAGAAAAGCTAGAAAGTAAGTTCTCAGAAGGACTGGGGCTTCATCAGAGGTAGTTTGTTCACATTTAGGATAGAAGGAAGCACACTGTGCTAAGGCTTTCAGTACCCTTAGAGATCATCTCATCTCATTGTAGTAGGACAGAGCCTGGCTCTGACTTGCCAAGATCTTTGGTCCCAAATGGGCCTTATAACAGATTATTAAATTGTGCTAAGTACCCGGGGTTGAAGCTGGAGGTCTCGGGGCTGAAGAGTCTACCTGGGTCCTCACTAGGAGTTTATTGCAATAACACACCAGAGGCTGTGAATACATCCTTTCCCCTCCTTTCTGCCCCCCTCCATTCCTCCTTCCCTGCCTCTCCCCATCCTTCCCTTCTTTCCTCTACATTTATTGATCGTTTTTTACCATGTGGTTATTTATTATTTTTAGGCCCTTAAACTCTAAGGTTGTGATATCCAATAAAAACAACCCCCAAGCCTCACTGAGATCCTACTACCAAGCTTATGCCGAGGAAGTCCATCTAGCTGGAAAGGGGTCTCTGAAAGCACTGCTTAATTAAACTGATCCATTGCAGCAAGTACAGTTTTATTTCATGAATATTAAAAGACTGACTCAGTGAATGAGTTTATGATATGAATCTAGAGCTGGCAAAATTATAAAAACCCAGGTCCCCAGCGAAGACGTAATAAATAGGACTCATTTCTAGGAGAATGAACTGGTGCCTCTCTCAGAGGATTTAGAGTTTTCAGCAATGTAGTTAGCATCTATGGCCCCATTAAAAGCTGTTATTTTCCCCTAATTTGTGCCATTTAGAACTGATTTTCATTTAACTTTCCCACGGCTCATTTCTCTCCTGCAGAACATTTTCATATGATTCCCTGATAAAGTCCACGTGGTAGCACATTTCATTATAAAGCTATAATAATAAAATCAGCACCGACCAACAGCAGCACACAGTAGTCAGAGCAAAAAGATGGCAGGGAGAAATCAGAATCTGTAGAGTTAATCTTTATGTTTGAAATTCCTGTTGCATTCTTACCTAATGTGGGTGGTTTTGAAACCTCCCCGGGGGGAGGGGGAGTCCTAGCCTGATGAACAAGGGCTTTATGAGACAGAGCTCATGGCTCTCTTTATTCCACATCTTCAGGAAAAGGCAACTATCTCCTTTGCATTGCATGTTATTGTCCTTTGTAAAATACTCCTAGTGCCATAGAGGGGGCTGCACTGGAAGAATTGAATGAAAGGCATTTTACAAACTGAGTACCTTCAAAAATATATTTCAGTTTATCTAAGGCTCATTAATATCCCCTTTCACTTCATATTTTATGAAATAAGACCTTCCAAAACATAGCCTTTTTCTGCCTCCTGCCAAAGACTGATCTCTCTCTCTCTCTCTCTCTCTCTCTCTCTCTCTCTCTCTCTCTCTCTCTCTCTCTCTCTCTCTCTTTTCTCTCTTTCTCTCTTCTCTCTCTCTCTTTCTCTTCTCTCTCTCTCTCACTCTCTCTCTCTCTCAAACACATATGTGAAAAGTATAAATTGCGGGTTTTTTTTTTTTAGTATATTCTCTCAGTGTTAATTAAGGTCCAAATTATACAGATTATTAATAGAACCACAGTGAAAAAATATTAAGGTACTGAGCGAACAAGAGGTAATGACAGACAGGTTAGAGGTGATCCTTTCATGGACGTTTCCTCCCCAGTCATGTACACTGCAGCCCTAACCACGATGCTAGGCTGGAGTATGTGGTCCTTGACAGCACAGACTGTGCAGACAGAGGTGTTAGATTTATTTGGGCATTGAGAAGAGGACAAGCATTTGTCAGGTCAGCGAGAATGAACAGCATAAACAGGATTAAAAGAGAGACAATGGTCTGGGAATATAGCTCACCAGTACAGTACCTGCTCAGGCTAGACAAAGCTGTAGGTTTAATTTTCAGCACTAAAAATAAACCAAAATGAAATGTACCTATGGAGAAGGGAAAACATCAAGTAACCCCAGGAGACTGGAGAATCTCTTTGAAGAGGTGCTGGGTTTTATACCCTTAACCAAGAAGATGGCTCATTATCTTCCTCCACAGACCTTCTCTGTGCCTTGCAGTCGTCTCTCATTGTGGTTAGCTTCTCAGAGCACTGGAAAGTAAGGAATAAAAGACAGCAAACCAATGCATGCCAAGGCAGGTACATGAATCTGAGAAGTTTTTCATTTCCCATCTGATCTTGGGGCTTACATGGGAGGGAGCGTAGTGTAGAAGTATAAGCTCTTCCCAGTATTGGCAGCTTAAGAAAACTGGGTATGCTGCATGAAGGATTTCCCACCCATTTTCTATTCAGTTTAGCTTTCAAAATTAATTTTGATCTATTTCTTAGTTGCTTGAAGGAATTCCTTGTGCTTTCTTGTGTCTCATATTAAAGTGTTCATGAAAATACATATTAATATGCATTAAAGGATATTATAGACAGATAACACATAAATTCTGAGAAAGCCTCATTTTCTTGGTGTGCCTGGGTCGGAAAAATCCTTAGTTGTTAGCTGAGTGTCTGCCTGATAGAATCTTGCCATTTTGTTTTGGGAAACTCTCCTCTCCCCTCTACTGTCCTGTGAGAATGAGAGCAGACTTTTCACAGCTGTAAGTAGCTGCCTCCTTATTCTGCTGTCGGAAGGCTTCCGACCCTACCACTCCATTCTTGTCAGCATCCACAGGAGGAAGGTATTTTGTTATTACTTAATTCCTCTCTTTCCCCACATCCATTTCCCCTTCTGTCTTCCTTTCTCTTTTGATTTTGCCCATACATATTCTTCATCCTGTGTTCTTTTTCCTTGTGAGCTCTGTGTGCCAGGGCTAAATAGAATTCCATGGTTAAAAATAGTTCCCAGCATTGTGATTCCTAAGAACTAGGGTCTCCAATCACTTTCTCCCATGTGATTTCGGTGAGCATGCTGGCAGAGCTCCAATCTTCCTCTGATTGTCCCATTATACTGTGCTTTTCCTTGCATTTAGCAGGAACGTATAGGCTGTGTTTCTACTTGGATGGCTCCGCCCAGTCTTCTTCTACAATTTCATAGAATTAGAAAGGAGGTCAGGGGAAGATACTGATATTTAACTCTTGTAAAAGGAAAAGCTTAATTACGTCTTTGGTAAGAGACCGCATCCCTCCTTTTCACTCTGCCTGTTTCCAGAGTCATCTCTGTGAGGCAGAAGTTTTTATTTTCCCTATGCCTCTCACACTACAAGAAGTCTGCATCTGCGATGAGAAGCAATGAATGTTCATTGCAGTCTCAAAGAGACCTCAGTTGCCTGTGATGTACTGCAATACATTCAGGGCAGGCTTACCAGGAGCAAATGCCCAGGAAAGAGCAGCAGAGTTCAGTGTTCTCACTGCTTTATTTTTCATTATAAAATTATAAATATCCTGAGCAAGCATGTCAAATGAGTAACTGACTATCAGTATCTATCTTGTAATGTGTGTGTGTGTGTGTGTGTGTGTGTGTGTGTGTGTGTGTGCACACGCACAAGCATATTCATTTTAACTATTCTCTGAAACCATTCTACAAATAGCTACATTCCTATGAAGCCACAATGCTTAGGAAGCTGAATGATTGCCTGTTAGCATTGATCATTTAGGGGCAAAAAAAAAAAAAGAAATTTCCAGTGTAAATAATATCACTTTTCTTACACATTCTAAAACCCCTTCATATTCAAGAGTAAATTTGCCTTACATGTGTTTGTTTCAATTGACATGTTAAAGTACATCTGGGAATACAATATGTCATCTAATTGAAAACTGGCATCTGATAGATATGAGCAAGCTCTTTGAGGAAATAGAATGATAATGGAATTCCTGCTCCTGGTGCAGGAATGGCTGTCCTTTGTTCTCGTTTGTGAAGGCATACCATCAGACTTCAGCTGATTTCCTTGTGTGCTTCTTCAGGCAGCTCACTAAATTCAGAGAAGTCAAATATGTCTTCCTTTGGGGGGATGTAATTTCGCTAATGGGCCACAGTGTCATTTCTCAGGTTATGTTCACCTGGCATCACTAAAGGATTTTCTATGACTTGGACAGTTTTACGTAAATTTTTTTCTTTCTTTCTTTCCTGCTCTTGACAGGTTCATGAGGCAGTCCCATGTTACAGTGAGTGCAATCAATATTCCTGGGTTGTAGAACACTGGTCTCCATGCAAAATCAACAATGAGCTGAGATCTCCACGCTGTGGAAGAGGAACGCAATCTAGAAGAATCAGGTGTGTGATGTTGAGATAGAGCATTTGTGCCCTTCATTAGAACACTGGTGTTGCTATCCAGATACTGGATGATATCCATTCCACATCCTATGACTATGCTCAACCTCAAGAATCCATGGAAGCAAGTGTATCCCTCCTTCCCTGTGAGCAATGGGAAGGCCTCTACAGTCCACCATCCATGGTCTTTACTATTTTCTGATCATACTGGGGATAGTCCACTGCAAGGAACAAATAAGTGTCCTTCCATTGACTCCCAGCCACCACTGCTAACAAATCAAGAGGTTCTCACTGCTTTTTCCATTTCTCATTTCAGCACCGTGGTTAGTGTATTTAATGGCTTTTAAACTATTTGGGGATGCCATTACATCACCCTGAAAAGGTTAACTTAAACCATCCATGATTAGCCCCAAACACTAAAATTCAGTCAGATCTATGAATAATATTTATTCATCTATAAAATAATTATTAATTCTGGGTCTCTCTGAGGAAGCTTGTCAAAGGATTTTGTCCTATATATTAAGCACCAGAAGCAAAAACAAAATATGCCCGAGTTTGCCAAGTCGGTACATGTCAAAATAGCTTGTAACCAGAGAACAACTGCCTTCATCACAAAGCATAATAGCAATAAAATGTTACCATTTGGACAAGCAAGAGCTAAAGTATTGATACACAACAGGGTGTAAAATAAGAAGAAAGATTAGCGTCATCCATTACCCACCTGAATAGCATAGGGCATTAGGTTTTCAGATATAGAAAACTCTACTATAAAAGATGGACAGCAGCGGAGTCAGATAGCTGTCTGTTAAGGTAACCATTAGCTGGAAGCCTGTTACCAAGGTATATCTTACATGTGTTGACTGTGACCTTGGGGAGGCTTCATCATTCAGTGATTCACCCCATGATGGCCACTTTAGCAGTTCCAATGCTCCAAAATCTCAGAAAGGCATGCAAAAGTGACAGCTGATGGCAAAATTGTAAAGATGCTTCTTAATAGCCCAGGCAAAAGCAACCAGAGAACCCACTCCCATTCCTTGTGTCCACTGCTGCTTTGCTCCACAGTCTCTTCGACTCAGGTTCTAGTGGACTTTGGGCTTTAACCATTTCTTTGTCAAAAACTCTGCCTTGTGTCATAATCTCACAGGATTGTGAAAAGTTACTGGCCAAGCAGGTTTATAATGTAGGCTGACAATCCCTTTGCCTCTTTGCAATTTTAAAAGGAAATCTTAGGGAAGATAGAAAGCTTTAAGAAAACCAATTGCTACTTAGAGAACTCTTTCACACTGATGGAGGAAGACACAGGCAACTAAGTTCCTTGCAGCCATATCTCTCAGCTCATACATATGCAGCCTGATACAGTAAAAACAAGTACATAAATAATACAACTAACAGATGTTCCTATGTGGCATACTAATTTTATCCCTCCACAAAGCCATCTGTCAAATTGCTAACCCCTGGCACCTCACACTGCAATGGAGATGAATGAGATCGGGTAGTTAGAGGAAAATGAGGAAGTATATCTGCCCTAGTCCAATCTGAATGTGCCTGCATGAGAAGAGACTGGGGCGGAGCATGGTGGTGTATTTGGGAGGCAGATACAGAAGGAATGGAAATTTGAGGCCATCCTGGGCTACATGAGGCCCTTTCTATAATGCAAAATAAGATGTGGAGGGGTAGATAAGGACACAGATACATGCAGAGGAAAGACCATAGACAAAGGGGGAAAGAAAGCACCCGCTAACAGTTTGCTCTCAGATGTCTAGGTTTTAGAATGAGGAGAAAATCCATCTGTATGGCCTGTGCTACCTTCTCATGATGTCTTTCTGTTTGCTATGGTGGCCCTAGCTGACCAGCACATGCTCACTATTAATGTCACATGCAAATATGTGAACCAAATAGTCCAGGTACCTTGGACTACAAACTGCGGTTGATCTTAGTAAGACATGGTTGCAATGAATGAAACAGATTATCTCTTCTCTTTCTTACAATCTCAGTGCTAGAATACTGTTTCACCATTTGTTCATGACTCTGATAACTCTCTCCGTATTCAAACTTCCTATGTCCCAGACATGGCTCTTGGTATAGGAAATAAAATAGTGAACAAGAAATATCTATTTCCCCAAGGAAAAAGAAAACTGACAAAAAAATACATAAACTAATATAAGAAGAGGTGACTTCTCTTTGAAATGGCAAGAATAAAACTAAAATGGGTTTGGGGTTGTTGGGGTCCTGTTTTAGAGAGGCTGGTCAACAAAGTGAAATTTTGGCAGGAACTTGAATGAAATGGGAGACCTGCCTGGATGTGAAGGAGAATCCTCAGGGAAAGCAGCGTGCAACAATGCTTCCTGACTTGATGGGAAAATAACCAGATGCCCCACATGGCTGGTGCTGGTGTGAAAACCATGTTGTGTTCTTAAGGAAGGCAAAGGCGGGGCATTATTCTAACTACAGTATGAAACCATGAAGCTATGAAAGGTTTGGGGTAGAAGAGAGGTCCCATTTATACCTGTCCAAAAGAATTTACCTAGGGGTGGTACAGAGAAGGTTCTGAAGGGTACAAAAAGTTTGGAAGCAAAGGTGTAGGTTTGAGGCCATTGCAGAATTCCAGGTGGGAGAGTCTGCCAGCTGAATTTGGCTTGATAATGAGAATGTCGAATTTAGAATAAATTTCAAAGCTACAGAACATGGTATATGATGATTAAATGGCCATAGAACAGGGAAGAAGGAAATATAAAGATTGTTAACTGGCCTTATCAACAGGAGGAATGGTAGTACCATTTGTTGAACTGGGAAATGTGAAAAATCAGGCTTGACAGGAAAACAAGTTAGCTTTCAAACACCGTTAAGTTTGAGATATGATATTAGCTTTCCAACTGATCTATTATTGGCTGGTGTTCAGAGGAGAGATTAAAGTTATAAATTTCACTGCCATTAGCTTATAAATTTGGTATATGTTGATAACATTTTGAGCCCTGGGTAACTCTAACATTTGTAAGTTGGAAAGATCCTAAGAGAATGTTTCTAAAATTGGGACTGAGAAATATCCAGAGGAGCAAGAAGAAAACAAAGGGAATAAGAAGTCAAGCAAGAGGGTTTTTCTTAAAGAAAGATGTGGTAATCAACTGTCTCAAATGCCACTTAGTTCCCTGAGATAAGCACTGACCGCTGAACTTGGTGGTGCGGAGTCTCTGAATGATTCTGATAAGAGGGCTATCTGCGATGGCAGCGGAAGCCTGACTAAAGTGGCTCAAGATGGAATAGTGGAGGGGAGAAAAGGCAGGAAGTGTTGACAGTAAACATAGAAAATGCCTAAAAGCAGTTTTGCAGCGTTTACGTGAAGTGAGTGATTGCTGAAGGGGAGATGGGCAGGGAAATTGATGACATGGGATATGTAATAGATTACTGGATTTCATCTGGGAACACCTTCAATTTCAGTCTTCTTAAGTCTTTACTTGTGGACTGCTCAGAATCCCTGAAAATGCTTCTTCTTCAATCATGAATGAAATAGATAATTCTAATAGCCAGTATTCTGAGAGCACAGTGAAAAGATTTCTACTGCAGCAGAGTGTCAGCACCCAAAGATATCTGCATTCTCATTCCTGGAATCTCATATGTTGTCAGGCATGACCTTGGTAATGACCTTGCAGTGGGACAACAGCTCTAAGCTGTCTGGGTGGGCACAGTTTGTTCATAAGGGATTTTAAAGTGGTAGAGGGGGGCAAGGATGAAGAAAACACGACAACAGAAGGAAGACAGGAAGAAGTTCAAGGATTCTGCTCTGCAGGTGGAAGAATGTGCCACCAAAGGAAAGACACTGGCCTCTAAAGCCTAAAAAACCAAAGAGACATCTCTAGAATTGCATCTCTGTCATCCCCTGCATCTGCACTCATGCCCTGGGAAACCAGTGTTGTATGTCTATGCTCCTCAGGTATAAGACAAGAACTTTCTATTGATTAAGCTACTAAGTTAGCAATGGTGTTATTTTCAGTAGGTAGGCCTCTACTGAAATTCCTGCTGAAGTCTAAGGTCCTACTGAGAGTTCCTAATCCAAAGACATTTGGGACCTTCTCTAGATATTAAACCTTCAGTTACTCACAGGGAGAGGAGAGAGACAATCTGTGCATTATGGGAGGGCATCTGAGGGTCTAGATACCTACTACACACATTTTCAAAACACCTCTAGTGCTTTACCCATCTTCACCCCAACACACCAACCTCAAGTACTTGGTACTAAAAATTCTAGAATTTTCTGTGGAGGTTTCTATAATATAGATGTAGTTATTTTAATTATTGTCTCTTAAAGGTTTACTATCCAATATGAGCCATTTAATCTGTGCAAATATCTGGTGTCTGGTGCCCAGCAGTAGGGGATATGCCTTTCCATACCCCATTACTATGAACACAGTTTGTTCATCAGGGTCTGCAAAAGTAGAAAGAAGAAAAGAGGAAGGTGTGACTACAACAGAATGTGACTCTTGTCACCATCACCATTAATTGAGCTCTGATAGCACCTCCCTTTATTACTGCTTTTGTGATATATTGGAAGTGAACAGAAATCAATCCCTATGTCCACTGGCTATCATTAGCTAGAAATCTTACTTCTCTTTCTCAGTGAAACAAAAGAGCATCAGCTCAGTGTAGGCAATCTAGAAAGAAAGCACTTTCTAGATCTCTCAGTTTGTCCTGTGAAAGACACTGAAGCCATTCTATGGACCCTCCTTCTCCTGTTGACTCCTAACTCAGAAGTGGGAACCCAGAGCTGACTGTGTGCCAGGCCTCTCTGATGGAGACATTACCCTTTCTTTCTTTCTACTCACCATGCTCTGTTACTCTCCTGTATACAATGGTTAGGTTTTTATTACTTCACTCATACAGCTTGTTTCATTTTCCACCCCATTTCCTAAAGTTGTTTTTTTTTTCATTGTAATGTATTAAAAGAAACTATTTTGGTGAAAGATAGCCTAATTGGGGAGGGGGCACCACAGTGCTTCAGAACATCACTC